CGGTTTCTTTCGGGGTTTTTCTCTCATTTTATTCATTATTACGGTCAGTTAAAACAAAGATATTACTAGAAGTCAACATCTATTTACTTAACACCATCAAGTATATTCAATTGTAGTTACAAAAACGTCTTCGCATGTATACTCATACTAGTTTTCACTGTAGTGCGCAATGTCAAAATCAATCAGCACTAAAAAAAAAAAAAACCCCCGTGCCAACACTTCAATTCGGCACCCTCGCGCGAAAATACACACTTCAACTTCAAGCTACACCCCAGGGGCACTTCTTGCCAAGCAGGATCGTGGAACCGACGAAACTCGGCCGATCCGTGGAACCGACAAGATCAGCTCTGTAAGTCTTCGGTAAGGACTGATTTCGTCGTTGGTTCCACGAAGCGAGCTTTTTTTTCGTCGTCGATTCCACGAACCCAAGTCCGAGCTGATGTGAAGCAGGTGGGCTTGTTGCCCACGTTGATTCCACGACGGCCAACCATCAATCCACATACAACCAGGACCCACCGATGTGGGTCCTGACAGTCTGAAAACTCGAGAAAACCGAGTGTTGAAAAAAAAAAAAAAAAAAAAAAAAAAAAAAACTTTACTTTTTTTTGGGGGGGGGGGGAGTGAAACAAATGATCACTCCGAGCCGATCTAATCTCGGAAGGAGGAGAGTGTTTCAAGACTGCTTGGACGAACGGTGGAGCATCCTCCTGCAGGCTCGGCCTCGGTCCACTGCCGGAGTTCGACTCTGTGTGCGCTCCTTTTTGGGGCCGCTGCCAATTCTCTATCTGCGGCGCTGCTAGCTTCCTTGTCGGCTCCACTGGATGACCTCCGGATGGACCCGTGGAATGACATGTGGAGTCCACGCAAAACTGTGGACCGTCAGGAGCTGGTCCGAACCGCTGCAGTGGTCACTTGTGGAATCCACCAAAAAAATCGGTGTCCGCCCACGTCGAACTGCGCCCGAGGTGTACATACACTGTCTCAAGCCACACCGATGTGGCTGACAGGTGGTCGCTATCGTAGTTTAACTATAGCTTTGAGTCAAAACTTGCTCGGTTTTAGCTCAACCGATGCAGATTCTATTAACTCAAAAACACAACTTGTGTGGTTAACTCAATGCATTCTTTTTTTCCACAAAAAACCGAACATATCCTACTGTTCTTTCACCCATTTGCATACCAACCCCATTAAACTCTTCATTCATGGTCATGTCCATGAGTCTTGGAAATTTCCATGACAGCAGATTTTCGGTGCTTCAGTACCCCGTCGAATCCCTACACCACGGGGCGAGTTTTTTGAAACTGGCCCCATCCGCTGGACGCTTTCCTGAGGAGAGCGTCCAACGGATGCGATCAGAGCGTCCGAGGGACGCTCTGGCAAGCCAGCATCAGTTGGATGCTTCCAAAAGCATCCAAGTGACGCTGGCCAAATATGAAGCGTCCAATGGACGCTAGGATTTATTGTCCATCAGACACTCTCCAACCAAGAGGGTCCGATGGGTGGTGGTTTTTAGTGTGTCCATTGGACACTTTGATTTAACATTTCCAATTGGAGCTGGTGGTTGATGGTCGAAAAAACATCCAAAAGTTTGGTCAATGGTAGAAAAAAGCTCCAAAAAAGCGGTTGATTGTCGAAAAAACACTCCAAAAGTGCGGTTGATCGTCGAAAAACACTCCAAAAGTGCAAGTGATGTGATTGTCAAAAAAATCTCTAAAAATGCACTTGATCATGAAAAAAGGCTGTGAAGTGGCTTACTCTGAAGTGCAAATTTGGTCTATGAACAACGATTTGGGTTGACTTGTAAGAATAATTCTGTGTAGTGTAGTCAGTAAGGAAAAGCTTTGTGGATGTGCAGTGGTACCTCCATGGGGGCATGGGTTGAAATCTGGGTGTGCTCATTTTTTTCTTCTCATGGCAGAAAAAAAAGCATCCAGTGGACGGCTTGAAAACTATCCAGTGGACAGTTTTCCAGAAAACGTCCGCAAACTGTCAGGCAGAGTAGTGTCCAATGGACACTCTCTGCCCTGCAAGTTCTGGACATCTCAGATGATGTCCAGAAGAGTGTCCATGGGAAGTCAGAATAGTCCCGTGGTGTACTTGAACTGTGAGAGCATCCGCATCAGTGGTCAAGTTACACTGGATTAGCGAGCTCGGATTAGGACAAGATTAAGGTGATCTCGGCCTCCAGCCGCATTGGTGGTGGCTGAGGTGGTTTAAATCTATGTGTTAGAGCATCCGCATCAGTCGTTAACTTAGCGCGCATTAAGGCACTTAGTCCAGCCTCGCAACCGCACCGGTCCAGATTACGACAGGATCAACTTGACTCAGCTCTCCATTTGGAGCTAGTGGGGTCTAAATCTAGACCTCACTAATCCTGGGAATAAGTCCTGCATGCATATTCAAAAGGCATGAACACATACAAACTAGCTCCGATCAAGTCGGATCAACTGACCTCAAATACATAACACATAGATTTAGGGTCTGGGCTAATCGACTCCCAAACCCCAAAACCCCCGGAATTTTCCCCGAAATCCCGAGAGAGGGGAGTCGATCCTCAAACCCGTCAGCGAGATTTGGAGTCCAAAAACCAAGCATTTTTATTAAAAAATAATCCACCCCCGAAGAGAGTGGGGGTCGATTTCCCCAAACCCAGTGGGTTTGGGGGTCCGCTAAACTAAAAAAGAGCCGCGTCGGCCGGGAGATCCTCCTGGCGCCTGATGGAACACCCTCACGGCTTAGAGTGTTTCTCCCGGCTGTTGAGAGGGACACTCTCCACCAGCCGGAGATTTTTCTCCCGTGTGAGGAGTGTACACTCTCAACAGCCGAGAGTGTTTCTCCCGCTGTTGAGAGTGTACACTCTCAACAGCCGAGAGTGTTTTGTACACTCTCAACAGCCGAGAGTGTTCTCCCGGCTGTGAGAGTGCACCCGCCATCAGTGGTCACAGTTACCGTGGACTAAGCGAACTCGGAATTAGGACAAGGTTAAGGGTGATCTTCGCCTTCCAGACGCATTGGTGGTGGCTGAGGGTGAATGAAATCTATCCCGATAGAGCTTCCAGCATCACGCCCCTACCTTTCGCGCGCATTGCGCCACTTAGTCCAGCCTCGCAAAAAGCACCGGGCCCAGAGGACGACAGGATCAACCGCACTGAGCTCTCCACTCGGAGCTAGTGGGGTGTGAATCTAGACATCACTAAGGGTGGGAATAGCGCGGGCGGGCGTGTTCCCAACGCCAGCCGCGAGGAAACCCTCCGCCCTTTCGGGGGTTACCTTTCTACACTCGAGAATGTTTCTCCCGGCTGTTGAGAGTATACACTCTCAACGGCCGAGAGTGTTTCTCTCGGCCGCTGAGGGTGTGCCATCAGCGGCCGGGAGGATTCTCCCGGCCGACGCGGGATCTTTTTAGTTTTAGCGACCCCCAAAACCCAGTGGGTTTTGGGGAATCGACCCCCAACTCCTTCGGGGGTTGGATTATCTACATATAACTAAAAAAATAGTCTCAGAGGGCCAAACAAACCGTCAGGCTTGAATAGTGCTTTCTATTGATTTCTCATGCGGCTTCTAACGCCGGCGTCGATATTTCACATCTCAATGTCATTTCTGACAGGCTATTGCACCATAGGACCTTAAACAAGTAAAACCCCCAACATCCAGGGCAAAAACAAGCAGCCTCCCCAAATTTGGGGGCATATACTAGTTTTTTAATAAAAATGCTTGGCTTTTCGACTCCCAAACCCGCTGATGGGTTTGGAGGATCGACTCCCATTCCTTGGGGATTTCGGTGGAAATTCCGGGGGTTTTGGGGTTTGGGAGTCGACTCTCCAATTTTTGGGAGTCGATTAGCCAAGACCCTAGATTTAAACCACCCTGGAGGCCGAGATCACCTTAATCTTGTCCTAATCCGAGCTCGCTAATCCAGTGTAACTTGACCACTGATGCGGATGCTCTTATGTATTTGAGGTCAGTTGATCCGACTTGATCGGAGCTAGTTTGTATGTGTTCATGCCTTTTGAATATGCATGCAGGACTTATTCCCAGGATTAGTGAGGTCTAGATTTAGACCCCACTAGCTCCAAATGGAGAGCTGAGTCAAGTTGATCCTGTCGTAATCTGGACCGGTGCGGTTGCGAGGCTGGACTAAGTGCCTTAATGCGCGCTAAGTTAACGACTGATGCGGATGCTCTGAGGGGAGTGAAGCCGAGTCATTCAACTTCGAAGCTATTCTTAAGCATCAGTTCTGGGATTGGTTGAGTATGCCTGAACAGCATTCCTCAAATTGTTGCGATCAATGGTTTATACTAGGCTCCTCCTTCCTCAGATCTTCAAGCTAGAAGAACCGGTCATCGGTTAACCAGCAGAAATTGGGTCAAATCTACCATTAGACACAGTCATAAGTTGGTTGATGGATGATGCCCAAGGTGAAGCCGGGCCAATAAGAAACAAGAGAAAAAAACACGCGTCCCATAGGGCCTCACTCAAAGCGCGATCTCCTGTCTCTGCTAGGCAACATGCGTTGTTATGTTCGGCCACCTGCAACTGACTTGGATACTGATCTCCAAGCAGGCTAATGAAAAAACCCACATCTCCCCACCACTATCTCCCATGGGGAAAAGGTACCGTTGTAAGGTGTTTCCCGCCGCAGGAGATTGTTTCAGATGTCTGGCTGGGCGTGCCTGGATAACCAAAAAGCTTCTTGGGTCAGATTTCTGTGTAATGATTTAGGCTATTTGTATTGACCTTGACAAATGATATCAGGCATCACCAAGAATGAACTTGAATGCAAAAAAAAATGTTGAAATATCCTTGATCTTGATCATTTGCACTTTGTAGGCGTTCATCTTATGATTTGTCAGATTATGATTGGTCTCTTGTTTCCAGAGTGAAGCAAAACCCAACATTGCTCAGATGAGACTATGTCCTACAAAGCAAGGCGAGCCAATTTTACAGGGCAATTCAGCAAGGACCGCGTGCACCAGATCCAGCGCTTTTCTTTTGGTGGAGGCGGTATCCAAGGAGCCCCAGCTGAATACAACCATGAAACCTGTGAGGAGTTCTCATTTTCCGCAAGATGATTGATACATAGAAACTCATGATATCCTGACAATTGATAGCAGATAATTTGTCACATAGAATAGAATATGATCAGTAGACATGGTCAAACAGAGCCTTATGATTGGACACACAAAGTGGGATGATCTATGGATTGATGCAATGAATATCTATCAATGCAATGAATATCTATCATTGTGTACATTTGAGTCTATGTGTGATGTCGTTCGTCAAGATGGATGATTTCAATCTCTGCGGAAGAAGGGGCAAATACATGAAGAAGAAAGAAATCGGCAGAGGATTCAGGCACCGTATTGTCTTGATTCAGGGAGCTTTAGGTTTGAAGAACTGATGAAGGGTGCCTTTGGGCCTTGGTTTCAGACTGTCCTCGGTTTTCTTCCTCTTAGCGGGAGGTGGTTTGGCGGTGCTCTTGGACTTGGCCTCTGAGCCTTGAGGATTGCGTCCGATCTCTAGAGGATTAATCGTCGAGCGGCGCGCCTGGTTCTCCTTCTCCTTTTTCAACGCTAAGAATTTATACTCATTCATGCCTTGTAGATGCTCGCTGATCGGTTTCGGGAGATAGGCCTGAATCATCTCGAGCGAGATTTTCTTGTAGATGTCTGCTTCGTTGAAGTGTCACGTTAAACAAAAGATTGAACCGTTGATTATCAATTTGGTAAACAATTTCTTTATTGAGGGATCTTCGGCAGATTTTTTTTTTGTATTAGAAACACTTCGCCTACCATTAATTATAGGTAGATTATGAGAAGTCTGTTCAAAGTCAAACAGACCCTCCTTGGATCCAAGTCGAGTCCAGACCGTACGGGCATCTCGACCCGCATCCAGACCGACAGAATTAAGTTGATCGACTTTGCGCCTAATTTCCTTAACTATGCGTTCGGCTTCCAGACGCCACAGCGTGGTCCCAGTCTCTTCTTGATGGAGAGGGGCGAAGATTCGGGAGAGGTGTTTATCTTGAAAGGCTTCGTTTGTGAAGAGCTCCACATCACCGGCAGTCGGACCCTCCGCACTTCCTGCAAACAGCCAATGCTCCTGTATCCGTTCAAGAATCGTTTCTATATCTTCAAACCGAGCGCGGTGGTCGGTGCTCTTCTTATCAATTGCAAACGGATCGGTTTCGTTGTCCGAGTTTGCGTGTCCGAGGAAAAGCCCGAGAAGAAGAAAGAAAGGATCGAAGGGGGTGACGACAAGCAGACGGCCAGCTAAAGAGAAACTAGAATGACTGTCAACTCGAGCTGATGTATTTCTATATGCAAGATATGTGTGTGGGATGAGAGACGTGCGACATACCTTGTTGACTGATTAATTGATCAATCTGATCTTCGCGTCTCGGTCTAAAAAACCATGATCGGCTCGAAGTTGGCGATGAAATGATGGATTGGATCTCCCAAATTCCTTGCCCAGCTTTGATCGCGAATAGTGCAGGCAAACGCGTCCTGGGATGTGGTAGACGCACGATCGGTAGATCGTCTTTAACTTCGAGGAGACCTGAACATACACGGCGGATGAAGGGAAAAACAAAACGAAATCGATCAGATTAATTTCCTGTATTGTCTTTAATATTTTGACCAAGAAGGAGGAGATGTGAGACCGAAGGGTTTGATGCCTTCAGGAATACATACCGAGTCTTTCTTAGTCTCAAGGATTTTGAATGGACGTACATGTGGGAAGGATGATCGGGTCAGAGGCCGCCATAGCTGATCGATTCGTGCTTTACTAGCGATCAACAATCAGGATGACCATTCACAGTGGATGAAAATAGTAGAAGGACAGCCTGTGACACCTGGCGAGTATGTGATCCCTTGGGAATAGGCCAGTGACAGTGCTTGCTGATGACATCCGGACTGCGAGAACAGGTAGCTTGTGCAGCCGTGACAGGCTGGCGACAGGCGATGAGCTGCAGCTTTCGGCCGCTAAAAAGGCAGCTGAGCCCAACCCCCGCGAGGGGCACTGCTTAAGCCCAGTTAGGTTTAGATCAGCAGACTGTATGCAGGGGGCTCGGAGCTCCCAAGCCAGATCTCGGAGATTCATGCACCACAATCGGGCTTCGACTTGCTCGGCAACTCAACGCACGATGGTCAACAGACAACTACAGCCACAAGCAGCAACCAAAGCAACATCGACCAGAACTAGCTCAAGACTCAAGAATCAAAAAGCTCCCAATTCACCCCCAAGAAGAGCAGACCAGCTGAATCCACGAACAGGCGAACAACAGACCGGGAAGAATGTAGGACGGCCAACAGCAGCTTCCAATCAAGAAGAGGGCTCAAAAACACAACAGAAACAGAAATCTACTAACCGATCGAACGTCTCTCACACTTTGAGCAACACCGAACCCGAGCCCCAGGTGCCCAAGGACGATTTTGAAGAGCGCCACGCCTGCAAGACTGCGTGAGTCGAGCCTGTAGAAAATCCATGGCCATCGATTAGATCTTCTCAGCTTGCTCATCATCATCTTCCGCATTCCTTTTGGGTCTTCCCTTTTCCCCTCCTCTCTTGTTTGACAAAATCAGACCGGGTATCAGTGCTCAAGGCGTCATTGTCAAACAACTTATCGATCGGATGAGAATCGATCCAAAATTCGTTTCCGACCTTACGAGAGGTAAAGAACTGAGTTTCGCTCAATCTTCCCCTCAAGCCACGCCATCAGCCTCAGAGGAGATGGAAGCAGCAATTCTTTTGCCGAAGAAATCCACGAAGGACACCGGAATCGTTCCAGTTGCAAGTTCAACAACCAAACCGATTTCCAACTTTCGCTTCAATGCCCCGCAAGAAGATGCTAGCCAAATCCCATTCGAGTCTCTCCCAACCGAGGAAGATCAGTTTGCTGATCCTGAAACGCAAGAGTCACAAGAACCCGTTGGGGAAAGCGAGTTGGATGAAGATAGCACTCACGAGTCCAATGGATCCGTTGAACAAGGCGTGATCGATGTTGATGAAGAATCGAACGTGTCCGTTGATGTTGATGAGAGTGTAATAGATTCGCATGATGCTCAAGAACCAAACAGGTCGATTGAGGAAACAGATCTAGTTGGCCAAGAAACTCAAGAGTCACACGATGATATTCAAATAGAAGACTTCCTTGTAGGCTCCAAATCAACCACCAACAATGTGGACGGGCAGGACCGATCAAATGAAGAAGACCTGATCACAGAGTCAAACAGATCGGTCGAGGAAATTGGCCCTGATGCTCATGAAACTCAAGTGTCAATCGACGATTCTCATGTAGCTTCGAGCTTGATTTCTAACCTTTTCAATTCGATCGATCCGGGAGATGCGCCGGCAGATGAAGTTGCTCTAGATACAGGTCTACCAACAAATCATGCAAACGATACATCAACTGAAGAGTCAATCGAACCTGCGCTGCCTGTCACTCAAGAGTCAAACTTGAACTCTGGAACGGTGGGTTCTTCCATCAGTTTGACGATAAATCGAGCGGGTGAACCGGAACAATCACCAGGAGACCCGCTGGCAGATAAGTCGACTCAGGCTGGTACATCATCTAGTCCTGCAAAACACTTGCCAAAGACATTTTCAAGCGAGCCCATGGAGGAGGATGAGCTTGCACCATCTGTTCCTCAAGACACCAACGGAAGTACCCAAATCGATGATCATCTCGTGGTTTCCGACTCGACCTCCAACCCAAGAACCTCCAGTCACTCGGATGGCACGGGCAGATCGAAAGAAAACCGGCTGGTAGATAAGCATACTCAAGAGTCCGATATGAATTCCAGTTTCCCAAATCAGCCGTTGACCCCTGAGTCAAGCGAACCCATCGAGGTTGATGAGCTTGCCGTATCTGATGCTGAGGAGACAAACGGAGATACTCAAATGAGAGACGCAGCCGCCAATGCGACATCCAAAGATTTAGATAAACTAGAGCGAACCAATGAAACCCTACCAGCAGATCAACCTACTCTAGGATCGGGGTCGAACGATCACGGCCTCGATGACAACGAGCCAATGCTTGATGTCTATGTCGCACCCGATTTGCCTGATCGTCAGCTTCATCGGCTCAAGGTGACGACCAATTGCATCAAGTCGATCGGCTGCATCTCTGCAAGAGGATTCTCCAGCTCCCAAGATGATGCTCTCCCCCAAGATGATCCTCCTCCCCAAGATGATCCTCTTCCACAAGATGATCCTCCTCCCCAAGATGATCCTATCCACCAAGATGATCCTATCCACCAAGATAATCCTCTCCATCAAGATAATCCTCTTCACCAAGATGACCCTCTCCACCAAAATGATTCTATTTCCCAGCATTCGCCTACCCCTAAAGGTTCTCCTGCTGCCCAAGATCCCCGAAATTCAAAGAAGTCCGCCCAGAAAGGAAAATCTCGAGCCGCAACCGGTTCATCACGCTCGGCCTTCGGTAAACCTTCTGGTTTTATTTCGAACGAAAGTGACAGTCCTGATTCGGTCTCGAGACGCGAACCACCCCGGAAACGACCATTACCCTCAGAACCGCCCCTGCGGGGAAAGCTTGCCCAAACTCATCAATCTTCTAGCTCAACCAAACAATCTGGGTCACATGAGAACCCAAAAAAGAGGAAATCCTCCAGGAAACCTGAGCCAGTGCCAACTGACTCTGAGGAGGACAAGACAGAAGAAAAGGGTAAGAAAGCAAGCTCAAGTAAGCGATCAAAACGACAGGAAGGACCGCGGAGAGCTGCTTGGAAGCGAGACATAGACGGAACCGACTCTGAAGAATCCGAAACTGGTAACACCAAGCGAGGAAAACGTCGGAGTAAGAGAAGGAAAACGGAGTCCACTTCCCCCGCCCCCATTCCAAAACGCTCTTCAACGGAGGATGGCTATGAAAGTTCATTTTCGTGGACGGGTATTCCACTTTCGGAACCCAGGGTTCCACGAAGTACCTCACGCACTCCCAAGGGTGGCCGACGCAAGAGAACATTCTGGTGCGAAGATGAAGAGAAACTGTTGATCAAGGAAGTCCTTAAATGGCATTTAAAATCCAATTGTATGGCTGAAATCCTGAAGAGACACGGGCTTCGTGGAACCGTTTCTAAGACCTTCGCTCATAGAAATAGCGTGCAGCTTAAGGATAAGGCTATCAATGTTGAGTTTGGCTTCCTTTTTTGTTCTTAAATTACAATACTCCTGGTCGTGAAAACGTTGATAATAACTGAGCTTATGTTTTCAATCTCATTTTTTTTAGCTATCTACTAAATGGAAAAGAGAAAGAGTTGACCTTCCCAAACCAGTTAAAAAAGCATTTGCTCGTTTTCCGCCTAAGGTTCAACTTCATTCATCAGATTCGGAAGGACGCTCCAGTGCGAAAGAAGGGGAAGATCGATCGGATGTTGACCAGTTGTCTGACTCGGAACCGGAGAAACCACCTCCACCAAGGAAAAGAGAAAAATCTAGTAAATCTAAATCAGTCCGCCCTGAGCCAGAAGACTCTCTTCCGGCTGTCGAAGAGGAATCAGATCATCCTCAGTCATCGGCCAAAGAGAAAACTCGGTCTTCGTCCCGAGATAGAGAGAAATCTAATAGACCTAAATCACCGCTCCATGAACCTGAATGCTCTCCTTTGCCTGGCAATCAACAAGTCATTCAAGCCAAAGAAAAAACAAACTAATCACCCCTTGTTCGGATCACATTTACCTTTGATGACGGACACTGATCTTTACACATTTATTTTACCCTTTAAGCCTTGTTAACCTCTTGATGTTTTTTTTTCTCATTTATTTGAATAAAAATTCCCTTGATGTGAAGCTTAGTGGTTAAAAAGTCTCTCAAATTTTGTATTCTCTTCCTCCTTACATGTGTAATCAATTTTTGGCTTTTTTCACTTTCAAGTTTAGCCTTCATTGTGTTGTCCCCCCTCCCTTTCTTCAACTGTCACCTTTTTTCAATTATTTTTTTTATTTCTATATATTTCAATATGTATCAGTGTAGTTGCTGTATCACTTGCATGCATGTGGTTTAATTGATTTCTAAACAAGGAAAATCTCCAATCTTTTACCTCTATTATCATCCGATACAATCCTTCCAAAAAATCATTGAAAAAAAAAATGTGTGCCACTTCCATGCCCAGTGCATGACATGGCAGCAACACTGGGTATCCCAAAGAATAGCTCAGTTGCTGCCAGTGTCATACCAATATCATAAGCTTCCTTTTCTAGAATTTTTTGGCCATGCTGTTAAAAAAGGATCAAACCAATCATCCTTTTCACACAGAACCGTGCAGTGCTTGCCTCTTCAAAAAGGTACATGGAAACCCACGGAATCATGAAAGACAACCGACAATTCCTGGTGGCATTGATGGTAGGACAACACATAAGACCCCGTCCCGTCGTTACCTTACCACCTGACCACGGAGCTAGCAATGGCAAATTCCTATAGCTGAGGGTGCACCAAGCAGGATGTAACGATGTTTCGTTATTTTGCATTCTGGGTGTGAATTTCGTTAAAGATGCTGTTTCTTTATCGATGATGTCATGCACAGTGCATTTCATTTTTATCTTCGATGACGTATTATTCAAATCGACGATTGTCATTTCTCTCTGTTCAATGACGTATTAGATGATCGAAGATCTTTCCGATCATTGTAGGTTAGATTTTATTATATAAGTTGTCATCTCTCTTGTTCCTTGTTGTTCTTCTTTCCTCTTCATCTCGATATTTCTATTCATCATATTTTGTTATTTATTATTACAATTAAAAACATCATTATAACTATCTTACATCCCCTTTCTCCTAGCGGTGGCCAGAGAATCCGGATTCTTTAAATATTATCTCTAAGCTTTCAGCGAGATTACCTCTCGGTAAATCTTCACAGCTACTAGCGGAATAGAGTAATAGATTAAGCCTCACACAGGAGAACAATGGAGCATCATGGCTTCTCACCGCATTCAGACCCTCGCTTGGCTTCCTCGTCCGGAATCTCGACCCTGCCCTTGTTGCTGCTCCTGCCAAGACTGGTCGGCTTTTGCTCATAGGACTCTTTGCTCTCCATGCTATCGCTATCTTCACTCTTATTTTGTGGTTGGGCTATTTGAGTATTGAGGGGAACTTTGAAGGGGTTATTGTTGCACCTGCACCCAGTGAAGACGTTGGTAAAGTTCCTAGTCCACCATAACTCCACCACCATCATTACTCAAAGCTCAATATTTTATCATAAACTACTTAGTTGAATTCTTATCTCAAAAATGTCATTATAGGTTCACGCTGTATTTTTTTTTTTTCAGCAGGCAGCCTTCATTGCTGGTTTCGCTGTCTGTAACCAATGTTGTGATGCGCACCTTTTTCATATGATAGGGAAAAGTAAGGGGTGAATTTCTGTACAGATTTCATGCTTATATTCTCGCTTGGACCCGAATTTTATTCGGATAAATTCAAAGTGTATTAACTGGAGCTTTTACTTTGGATTGCAACTGGTTATACACACCACAAATTAAGGAATAAATAGA